AAAAAAAAAAAAAAAAAAAAAAAAAAAGTGTAAGGCATAATACACTGCAGTAGTATTTCCTGAAAACTGTTGGCTCATGCCATGAGGCTTGTAATCATAACTAGCTTCCTGCTTTCTTACTTGGGATGAAGCAGCTGTTTGTTCCATTAGCCAGTTCCTGCACAGCACTGGCTCAGTCATGTTGCAGACCTCACCCATCAAGACTGCACACCGTATCATTTGCAAATGTAAGCTGTTCTTTATCAGATATCCATGAACATACCAACAGAAAATAATTTATTGACCAGACAAATACAAAGTCAGTGTTCCATTTATTTTTTGAGTCTAACTCACAGTGCTAACCTTTAAAATGTTACAAAGCAGCAACCATGAGAAAACACCTCTCTGAATATGTTTCTTCTGTCAGGTACTGACAGTAGAGGTTAAGTACTCTTACATCTTCTGTGCATTTGTGGGTGAAGGTAAGGAGGACAGGACACTCAGCACAGAAAAAGAAGCAGGAACTAGTGTAAGAAGAACCTAGCAGAAGGCTCCCTGATCATGCACATGATCAGTACTGTGCACTTAGCTCCTGTATTTTACAAGTTTGCAGCCTCAAACTCCTCTCCTATTACTTATTCTTCCACTACTCTCATACCCAGAAGGAATCAGGTAATTTCGGAGGGAGAGGAAACTCTGAATTCTTCAGATAAAGTGTGGATAAAAGGAATGACAGTGAAGCCAAACAGAATTTCAGGAAACAGCTGGAAAAAAAGGGTGAGCGAAATCTACAGGCAGAGTGGAATCGGGCATGAGCCATACAAAGCTTTGGTCTCCACCTTCATTTATACTGGTGGGTAGAAAGCTTCTTCTGTAACAAGTGAAGAATAACAAAACAGTATCTTAAAACTGCTTTTGTAAAGAAGATACTGCTGCATTGACAAAGAGTACATCCGCTAATAAACTGAGGCCAGACTGACACGTAAATTTAACTCCGCTGCCCTGAGTTCCCCTGAGCTAAATTCAGAAAACAAACACCCATGTTCCGCAGGCTTGAAGCCATTAGTGAGTGTACTAGTTTCGTGGTGTGAATTTTAGGGGCGAGGGCTAATGGAGAAAGAAGAGAGGCATTATGTCTAGCAATCAATTAACAAAATCAATAGAATGATCAGTGATTAAAAACAACAACAAAAAAATCATATTTCTTCTTACTCCTAGAACTGTGCAGTGCAGTACTTTACAAGCCTCTTAATGGAAGGGAAGTTAGCAACGCACTACCCATAGATTGTCCCACAAAACACCTGAAATAAAATTCATGCTTGATAACAGAAAGAAGGTAATGTGACTCAAGGTTTAACATGGACTGGGATTTTTTTCTCTGGTTTCAGACATTCACAACACACTTGCTCAGAATTCTGTGTTGCTTATTTCCCTCTGCATCTCAGAACAGACCCCTAACCTATCCATCAGCAAGTCTAAGAGAAAGCTCAGGCATTCCCGTACCTGGTCTGTATTTATAGTCATAAGTGATTCAGACTACTATGAAATCTGGCCTGTCTAGACCTACTATTGAATTGTTACAAAATATTTGCTTTCCATCACAAAGTGAAAATTCATGCGAAAAGCACATAGCACTCAAGCTCGGGCATCAGTGTAAAAACAGATTTGTGTGTCAGGCTCACAAAAAAAAATGAGCTGCCCCTTTGCTGAGTTTTATTAAGCTCATAAGATTTATGATGATGGATATATATAGTCTGTTAAACAAAAACTTATGTTGCTGTGAAAGTAATTCTTCCTGTTTATTTCCATGGAAACAACAACAGATACAAAGAGCATAATTACACTATTTGATTAATTCTCAGCTACAAAACACTGTTTCTTGACACTACCACCACCACTAACATTTTTACCAGGAATGTACAAGAGCTGGTATGCCATGCTTACAAAAATCTTAATGGCTGTCTGGAAAGTGGCTAGTCTTTCACCTTACTGACACCATTGGTGAAACACAACACTCATCGCCCCACATCCCCCACAGTGCTCTCTTCCACTGTTCTATCTCCAGAAATGTTCAGTAATGTCAGTGGATGTCAATAGCTGTCAATTTTTTTTCCTCATGGAGGAGTTCAGTTCCACATCTTTGCTTCATATGCACTTCCATGGCAGATACCACTCTGTCATAGTGTCCCTCCGCTGCCATCTGTTCCATGGCAACAAAATTTAATGGAATATTGGCTAGAATGTTCAACCACTACTGCCATACCATCTGCCTCTGATGTGATGGGCCAACATACTAAGATTGGAGGCATTACTTTCGGAGCAGTCTTAATTAAATGGGCAAGTTGGTCCTCACTAGTACTGCTCTGAAATGAGGTGCTGGAGCAGGTCCAAAGAAGGGCAACAAGGCTTGTGAAGGACTTGGAGAATATGCCCTACGAGGACAGACTGAAGGAACTGGGACTATTTAGTCTGGGGGAAAGGAGGCTGAGGGGAGACCTTATTGCTCTCTCCAAATATCTGAAAGGTGCTCACAGCGAGAGTGGGATTGGTCTCTTCTCACTGGTGACAGGACAAGGGGAAATGGCCTCAAATTGTGCCAGGGTAAGTTTAGGTTAGATGTCAGGAAAAACTTTCTTACAGAAAGGGTTGTTAAGCACTGGAATAGGCTTCCCAGGGAGGTGGTTGAGTCACCATCCCTGGATGTGTTTAAAAGCTGTTTGGACGTGGTGCTCAGGGACATGATTTAGTGGAAGACTGTTAGTGTTAGGGTAGTATGGTTAGGTTGTGGTTGGACTCAATGATCTTTAAGGTCTTTTCCAACGTGAGCAATTCTGTGATGCAGCTCTCTTAACTTTGTTGAACTCCACAGTGGGGAAAGTGGAAAGGAACCAGGAGTGACCCCAAAAAAGTAAAGTCCTGCCCTGAGGTATTTTAACATTGCAGGGAAACAGTCTGTTTATGCTGAGACAATGAAAATGAAGTGAGATTTCAGGCTGGCCAGAACTCCATTTCAAGAGGAGTAAAACACATCTTGTGGCTCAATGCCACAAAGGAATTTTCACCAATTTGGAATTTTCCTCTACCTAACAGGAGATACCACAGACAAGAGCATGCTGCCAGAGGCACAGCACATCCGTTTTGCACGCCTCAACTTTCAGCTTCTGCATCCATGTCAGTCAACTTGCCACAGGTGGGCGATATTACAGTATAGAGACTCCCCACTCTGCAGCAGTAACGCAGGAGCCTGTCTGAAAACTTTCAGATATAAGACTATTTAAGCCCAAAAAGGTGAAATTATCCAGAAGTTTTCAGGCAGCAGCTGTGAAAAATCAAGCTGATTGCTTCCCAGTGGTGAAGAAATAGAAATTGGCAATGATTTGCATGAAGAATATTTTGTATTGAAAATCATCCCCAACAGAATATATATTACTAACTCTAATCTGAACCCCAGAAATTTAAGTACTTATTCTTCCATTCTCTAACTGGGATGTCATAGCTCTCCAGCTGTGCATTAATCCCAGGAAAAAAAAATCTTCTTATTTCTCCTGTCTTTGCTATACTTACAAGCTTCTTGTGGCTGT